TCAAGTGCATGTTTCCCTCTCCCCTTGATCATCACAGCAATGATTATCTCACATGGGCAGCTGGGACATCCAGGAGTGCCATGAGATGCAGCTGAAGATACAGACCCAGAAGGACACACCGGACAGACATTTTCCTTCAACCAGGTAGTCACACAACACAGACTCAAGGATGTTTGTGTTCATGTCTATCCTGGTTTCTCAGGTCATGAATGGAAAAGCTTAGTATCTGGAAACCACCACACCAGCATTGTGTCCTTCCTGGCTAGAATGTGTCCTGTAGAATATGTCTCATAGATGAACTTTCTGATGAGGCAAGTGTTGCTTCCAATTGTTGACCCTGAAACCACACCACCAGGGTCAATGGACAAATGTGTTGATACTCAGTCGCCTTTTTCAACGTGTATCAGAAGTGCTAATACATGCATAAGATCAATACAGGTCCCTTCCTGTGGCATGGAGAGCAGAAGGGAATTTAACAGGTGACCTCCCTGCACTTCAGTAAAGGGAAACTTTCCAAATAAGGGACACGTTCCTACAGGACTTGGATCCTTGCATGATTTAAAATTAAAAGTTTGTAAAGACTGCAATCTTTTAGTTATCTTTCTACTATAGGGAGCCCAGTAATGACAATCTGCAGGAATAAGGCACTCCTTCATCCACGGATATCCTTGTTTTCCTTGCCAACAGCAGCAGTTATCTGGGCCAGAGGAGTTATTTTCTGCATAGATGGATGATACATCTTCAGGCCCCCAGTGCAGACTGTTGGAAATCTGGGTTGGAATTTAAAGGCCTTTACAACTTTACACACCAATTTTAAATTCCCACATTGAAGGGACTGCAGTACCATGAAGGAAGGCCTTGAGAATACTGGATGTGAAACAGGAGGGCTCAGAGCCAAAGAAGCATCAGGGACCTGAAAAAGTACCTTTTGATTCTGTCAGCCTTGTGTTCCAGATCAGAGACTCCTGTCCAGGGACAATGAACACAGGGAAAATGTCAGCAAAGACAGGTGTAAGCCCCCTGCAGGTGCCACTTCCTTCACAGGGAGACACTGCCAGTGGACTAAGGGCCTTTACTAAATCCTAAAATGCCAATCCTGGATGATTGTCTGGGGAATATGAGTGCTTAGGTGACAGTGAAAGGATATATCGTGATGGAGCTGGACACTGTTAACTCAGCTGGATGTAGGACATGTCAATTATCTCATCTTGGAGTGCTCAACTTGGATGGAAGGAAGCAGTATAGAGTGTCTCTAGTTAATAATTTTGTTTTATATTTTTATATAACATTGTCAGTTATCACCGTATGTTGTCTCCTATTTGTTACTCCTTAGCAATTTGTAGGGTTGAAATTATTTGTTCACACTGATGCTGGATGTTATGCTTACTACAGGATTTAATTCAGTATAATGCATTCAACTCCAGAGACCATTCCAAAAGCCTGTTATGTAGCAGTCTCCTTGAGTGGCCATGAGGATGCTGATGAGCCTCACTGTGTGAGAGACACAGGGAGTGAGATCTGCATTCACTAAGATATATCAGCCATGTGGAGACAGAAAACTGAGCTTTAGTGTACTGAGGGGCTGAGATTTATAGTGACACAGGTCATAGCTGTGCAGAGAAAGAACAGGTACTCCCATTGGGATTGTTGAATCCCTGCTCACAGACACATAGACAGAGACACAGACATAGACACAAACAGAGAGAAACAGAAACATAGACACACACACACACACACACACACACACACACACACACACACGCACATAGTGCCCTTGGACCCTGCCTACTTTGATGTAGCTACATCATCTCTTACTCTGCATGTTTACCAACATGACCTAGCTCCTGTGTTCTATCTCACATTTGCCCCATGGGCTGATCTTCAGAAAGTATGAGATAAAATACACCTTGAGTAAATTTCCAATTCTAATATCTGGATTTTTCAGGCACTTTATCACAGTGATAGAAAGTTCATTAACATGAATGCAGAATGATAAAAATTCAGTTACCATCTCTTCTTGTAAGTACAAAAACACTCAGGAGTCCAAAATTCATGAATAACAGTTTATTTAATATTACGACCAATAAAGTACCTGTGCCCTGTGAAGGTTGTCACAGACATCTGCAGGAATTTCATATGGAACCTGCTAGTGTCAGGTTTCCAGTTTTTCTAAGGAGTGAATTAGGGCCTTAAGTACATCAGAAGCTTGATGCTTAGAAACAGAATTTTATACAGTAGATGTCAGATAAACGCTGAAAGAGTTGCCGGCCCAGATGAAACACTGTAACCAGAAAAGGCTGCAGCTAAACTCCTCCCCCACCCTGCCCCCTATGGACTTGATTGTAATTCTATATCCCCATCCTTAAGGACGTGTGCGCCAATGAGATATCTGTGCATCTCTAATGGCATTAGGGTGCTGCCCTAAGCTTAGGCTATTTAGATCTCCCATGCCACGTTCCAGAGAGAGTTTGCCAGGGAGTTTGCCAGAGAGAGTTCGCCAGAGAGAGAGAGCTCGCCAGACTCCAGTGCGCCAGTCTCCACTCCCCGTGTTCCCGGAGACACCACCGGCCCCGGGTACAGAGATGCCCGGGGCCGGCGACGGGGGCCCCCTCCCCGCATTCCCGGAATAAAGCCACCGCTGACCACTACTTTTACGGTCGTCCACTCCGCTCCATTCCTCCTGCAGACTTCTCTCCTCGCCTCTCCCTTCTCCCAGACCTAACAAACGCATTGCAATAAATCTAGTTAAGATACATGATTGGTAATTAAAAACTCCATCAGCACACTTATGAAAAGTCTATTATTCAAGAGGCATTGTTATTAGGTGGATAGCAAGGCTATTAGCAATAGCCAAACAGTAATCATTATGGAGAAAATTATTGAAACTGTTAATTTGGTACAAACTGAGCTCAGGGATTCACAATGACAAGGTATGTAGCTGTGGACAAAACCAGAAACTTAGGAGAGATAATTTTCTTCTTTTACTAAAAAGTAAACAAGAAAAGAAAATAATTTTTTGCTGTTCAATAAGTGGAATCCATGGAAAAGAAGAGAATTGGTTTTCTATCTTACCTAGCCACAGAAGGGTGTGCACACCCTACTACTGCACTATAGTAAATAAGGGAAGGTAAAAATCATAAAAATAAGGGCTTAAAGACAGCAAGATTGAAATGGAAAATAAAAAAAAAACTTAATTTGGAAGAAGGAAGAGAAAGGACAGTCAGGCAGCTACCAGTGAGAAGGTAGTGGCTGCATAATTGAGGGCCTATGTTCCTGGCAGCATTGATTAAAGAGACAAAAAAAAAAAAAAACCTTTCCCTGGAACTTGTGCCAGGCTCTATGATCCCAACTCAGGTACCATTTCCTACATGAACATTCCTACTTCAGCTTCATTAGGGTTTTTTTATACTTTCTATATTTTAGATCTTAAATATATAGATTGGCTAAAAGCAATCTTGCACATGAAGTGAAGTCAACAATTAGGCAACAGGTTAATACAAAAATATAATGATTCTAGAGTAAAATATATACATACTTGCCAAAATTTTTCCACTTACAGTCTGTTGTAGTTAGGGGTTATACACTGAGAACAATTAAAATCAGGACATGGAGTTTATAATATTTTTATAATGGTCATGGTGAGTTAACACAGGAAAATGCAGGAAACCTATCCACAACACCAAAGACATAGAATATTTAGTCAAGGGCCTAAATCCCAAAGTAATGTCCTACACGAGTCCAGATATAAACCCCGAACTCAGGACAATGCCTCTGACGAGTCCAACTGGAGGTCCAGCGCCCACAAGAAAGACTCACCGCAGTCTCTTTTATGGATCAATGCCAGGAAAACCCAAGGGTCAGCGGTGGAAGCCAGGATGTCCATGCCAGTAGAATGAAGGAGCTGTGCTGGTGGGATGAGGGTTCTGCACTGGAGCCAAGAAGTCACACTCACAAAAAAGACCAGGTCTGTCTTGAAAGGCACAAAAGCCATCCTCAGCGACACGGAGGCCCTGAGCTCCTCCAAACAAGCACAGTTGGGTACGTGCTAGGAAGGAGCATGATGATTTAATCCTGGAGTCCAAGCATCACATGTCTTCCCCTTAGGAGCCAGGAAGCAATGCTGGGTGTGAGGACCAAAGATTCTCCAGGAGAACCAACAGTTCAAACAGCAACTCGTAGGAGAACCCACTATACCTCAATGCAATAACGCCCTAATGCTTCAGCACAGCTTCTTCTCCACTTATTTATCCTGCAACTTTCCTCAGGTGGAGCATCTTTAATCGATGTCATGCTGATGTAATCCATCTGGTGTTAAGTTGACCACCAGTTCTTAATCCATAACACAATCTAAAGTGGTTTTTTTTATCCCACACTCAATACCAGGAAGTGATTTAGTGGATCAAGTGCGGTACCCTTTTTCAGCAGTAATAGTGAAGCTTATGCTTGGCAAGGATTATCTTCAAAACTTAGTTATGATTTATGACACTGAATAGAGTGTAAAGCTTTTCTGAAGCAGTTGGACTGTTTGATTTTCCTTATCTTTACTTTTTCTCAGAAATCTCTTACTGTTAATGTGTAGTTTCTTCATTCATGCTGTAATGGACTTCTCTTGGTAGATGGCCTAAAAATTAGTTTAATGCAAATGAGCAGACTGAGAGAGACCCTGTGAACTTCTGGGCAATAAAGCTTATGGCCTTATTCCTGACAGCAGCCCCTACCTGTGCCAAGTTGTCCCAGCCTGAGCTTGACAAATAAACTTTTCTGTCCTCAAGGGATTGGTTCTTCCACAGGACATTCACCTGGTTATATTTGGGACCCAGCTTCAAGAGAGGGCACTAAACCTTTAAGGAAACCAAGGACAGCACTGAAAAGCCAAGAGTAAACTATGAATCCTGGCAGGTGAGGGTGCCATCATAGAAGAGAGATGGGCCCAGGAGCCAATTATTGATAAAGGTGGGTGAAGGTAGGAGGGCCAATCAGGTGGGCCAGGGGAGGAGGGTCTTCCCATCCCTCTTGTAGAAGTGCTCACTGGGAGTTCAGTGCTGAGTGCCTGGAGCTGAGCTCATGTCAAATTTCTGCGACTTCTTCTTACTGAAGACTGGAAAGGATCCTTGGAAATCCTCAAGCATAACAATGGTAACTTGATGGTATTGCAGCTGGGAATGGGATGGAATTTTGGCCAGTCTGGATGGTATTGGGCAGAACCCCTGTATACCCAGAGTGTCTTTTGCACAGCCTCAGGCACAGCTGTGTTTAAGGAGTGCAGTTCTTTGGAGACAAACATGTATTCTGGCCTCAAAATGAGAAAACACTATCATTTGAATTCCTTATGTGAGACTTCTACTCGAAGTGATGTTATGGCATGAACAGAACTCATAAACTCATGGCACTGTGTGTTATGAGTTATGGAACCAAAATAAAAATGAGAAAGCTGCTTGACTTTGGGAATGTTTCGTACATGGATAGCCATGAGGGTACACCTGGCTCTATGGATTTAAAATAGATCTACATCTTTGTTTCCTTTCTTTTTTCTTTTACATTTTATTATTATTGTTGGGATACAGAGTGTATCTCTGTAGTCTGGCCAGCCCATGTGATCCAGGATATCCTCTTCCATCTGTCTCCAGTGTGGGGATATTACAGTCCAGAGTCACTGCACCCAGAAAAAGAAATACTTTGAGCTGAGGTTGTCCAACCGTTTTGTTCAGCCTGTGGGGTCTATAGGAAACAGGTTTTAGAGATAAACTGGATGTTTGTGTTTACATTTCTGTTACCTCAAGAGTTTAGTAATTAGCACCTGCAATTCACTCTAGTAGACTAGAATCTGCAATTTATTGTGAAGTTCAAAGTCCTAGTTCATGGTCTGTTCTGATTTTAATTCTTATCCCAGCCACTACTTTTGCAACTTTACCTCAGGCCATTTCCTTAGGGAGTGCCTTATTTATAAGCTAAATAGATAAATACTTTTTTACAATTGAATTACTGAAGCGAGGGTTTTCTTAAAGTTTAGAATGTTGTGAGGTATTTGGGGATGGTGATGAATTAGTTTCTAAGTGGAAATTTCTTGCTGAGAACAACTTGCTGTAGGTGCTGTGTGCTAATCCCACACTGAGAAAAACAGCAAACTGGTGTCTACAGGGATGTAGAGATCTGATAACATGAAAGTGGAAATGGAAGTAGGTTTCATAACTGCAAAAATTTGTTACATTTGGGTTGTGCTTTAGTTTGACCTGAAATTTGAAGCAGTGAGTGGGGTGTGGTGGCACATGGCTTTAATCCTAGCACTCAGAAGGCTGATACAGGAGGATCCTTGCAAGTTTAAGACAAGCCTGGGGGATGAAGTGAGTTACAGGACATGACATCCTGAATTACATCATGAGTCCTTGTCTCAAAAAGAAATTTGAACGATGAGATGGACTGTTGTACTGAAGTAGAGGTATCTTCACATGGTCAGGATATTCATGAGTACTAAAGAATTAAGGACAAAAGTTTTAATAACATGTGCCAACATGATGGAAAGGAAATGAGAGAGCAGGGGCATGAGGAGGGAGGCCCAATCAGCAGCCAGCTTAGTAAAGGACTTCTGAGGTGAGCTTGACCTACTGTGACAGCACTGGAGGATTGTCTGCGTGGTAGGTCTGAGAGTAGGAAAAAGCTCACAGGCCTATAGAAAGGAGGGAAACTTAGTCATGGATAAAAACTTTTTCTATGTGTACTGATCAGCTCTGCTAATCATGTATGAGGTAAGATAGGTACTTAGAACCCTAGTATTGAAGGTTTTGATATATGTTGGGCATCACAACTAAAATAACATGGGAAGGAGTTTCTTTTGGACATCAAAAATTTTAAGATACATTTATTGTTTCTTCTTGTCCAATGACTGACCTTAGAAATCTGGCCCTTATTGACATCCTGTAAATTTTGAAAAAAGATTTAATTAATAAAAGTTTTTTGGCATTTAGAGATGAGGTCCCACTACTTTGCACATGGTCAGAAGAAGAGGTGTGTCTTTGCCAGCACTTTGACCTCTGAGTTTGATATATGGGAATGAAATTGTCTGCCCTTATATGTCCAGCAGAAATTCATGTTCTTTTAAATTTAAGAATGAATTTTAGGTACAATCAAGGTTAAGAGAAGAAGTATTTATTGAGTGAAAGAATGCTTCTGTGAGAGAGACAGAAGGGGTCCCATGTGAGTTGCCAAAGACTCTGCATTTTCTAGGAATTTTTATAATGTAAAACAATGAGATGAGGGAAGTCTAAAGGCAGATCAATAACTCACAAGACAGGCAGGCATGAGGTGGGAAAGAGCTATGGTCAAACAATCAGTTTCCCTCCTCATGTAAAATTGACTATATCAGAGACAAATGGGGAATTGAATCACATAGCAAGCTAGCATTATTTATGGATCAGTCTCTTTTTCTGTAGGTGGTTAGAATGGCAACTCCTGTCTTCTCAAGGTGATCCATCCCTAACCCCTAAGAATTATACTTAAGGGTGTGATTGTATTTCATTGTCATCTATCTTGAGATCTGGTGCACAGCATGTGGTGTGTGTGTCTCTTTCATAGTCACTAGATATCTCATCCTCTGTGGGGGCCCTTCCAGAGCCTAGCCATTTCTGATGGATGTAATATTTCTAACTAGCTCAACTGCCAGTGAGGGGATGACAGAAATATTTTACTTTGATGGTGATGGATATGCCTCTGCTTTGCTGGAGGGAATTAGGTCTCCTTCTTTAGTTCACATGGTCCTTAATGCTCAGAGCCTCATACCTCATCCATTGTAATGCTATGGACTCAGGCATGCAGTGCCAAGCCTGGATCTGTGGTTTGTTTTTTTTTTTCATGTCACCCAATTTCACCAAGAATTCACTGTTGGGGTAAAATAAACAACACTGAGTCATGGTGATGCACAAATTTAATTCCAGCCTCCTCAGAAAGTTAGGAGTGCTTAAAAATCGAGGCCACCCTGGATTACTGAACTTTTTCAATATGAGATGCATATTGAAAGTTTATGCCCATCTCAAATTATCTTTTCTAAAGTCCATGGGGCCCTTGGATAATGCAGAGAAAATGTTTGAGTGTAAACTTATATTGAATATTTAAGTTGACACATAGTTTATACTAGCGATACATGGCTCAATGTGAAGTTTATATGCTCATGTTGGAGGATACAGAGATGAGTCTCTGGTCTCTGAAAAAGGACACCATGGGTGAACAAACAGTGATTCACAGTGTGCTGCATTCAGTGAGCTACATGTCATTTAGTGTTGTATTATGAATTTCTCTTTCTGTTACATCTGAAATACATATTAAAGCATTTGTATTCAGGAGGTTGAAAAAAATCTAATGCTTAATGATAGTGTTTGCAATAACAGATTTGTTTTTTGTGCATATTCAATTCATTTTGTTGTCCCTTAGTTTTAGTTTGATCAAGTCATTTTAATTATGAAACTCAAATATCTCTTTTGCGTTATTCCTTCCAGTCTTCAAATTGTCTCCTGTAGAACAGGAGCCTCACTTACCCAGATAATTTTGTGAATCTTTTCTTTCTGAAGAAAGGATTCCAGTGGTTATAGGGCTTTACTGAAAAAATGTTTCTTTATCTCCTGCAAAGATTTAAGAGAATCAGAAAATAATTACTATGTATGAAGAATATCTGTGAAGGGTGGTGTGTGTCATGATAGTATGAATGTCCCAGTCCATTTTAATGTTCTGCACTTCTTTGTGAATTACTGATTTATAGCACATGGCAAATGACTCCCTTTTCTGTGCTTGACAACAACCAATATGACCTGGTTTGAATAATAAGGGAAAACAAGTCTCTTACTTTTTTGTGCATGGGTATAGGTATTTCATTGCCTTATGATATTGGCTTCAGGTTGCTCATTCTCTCAGAATCAATCTTCAACCTTCCAGTGGAGATTCTTCAGGAGTGAGAGAGAGCCTGAGAGCCACGTTCATGCACCACATGTAATCTTGTGGGTCATGTTTCCTTGCAACATGAAGCCACACGCTTACATGTCTTTCCTAATAACCTCAATGCCTTCAAACACTCAGAATGTGACAGTAGAATTCTAGGCATCAGACATGCAAAGTTGAGTATTTACTTTGAAAAAATTAGTAAGTCACAAGAGATTAGCATTCATCTCTTGGCATGGAAAGGTCTATTACAGAAAATTTACATGCTGAATCCTTATCTTCTTACAGGGCCTGAAGTGAGGGTGGGCACTGCACACAGCCTTCTTTCTGCTCTCCAGCTAGGTTTAGCTTTCATAAGTCTTGAATACATTGTAGTGACACTGTTGGATATTTTAACCAAGTCATAGGAAATGCCAGGGACATCTAACTATGATAAATAAAATCAGAGTTTAATATGAGGCCTCAAGCAGACAAATAGTATCCTCCACATTGAGTTTCATTGTAATGATGTTGAATTCCAGAATCAATGAACACACCCTCAGAATTCTAAGTCCTTCTAGGATGTTTAAAAAATCACATGAGAATTTTTTTTAAAGTTTAACATCAATAAATTTTAAAATACATATTACTATGGCTATGATGAAAATAATTACTAGGAGCCTTCCAGGCATGTGTAAACTACAGTCTTACATCTAGAATCATACAATAAATGAATAAACTGTTGAATACATTAGGTTCTATACCTTATAGTGAGAAAAGTTCGATGTTATGATAGGGATTTAAATAATAGAAGGTGAAATAATACAATAAAGGACAACTTGCAAAGGGGCTGCTTCTTAAAAACACAAATTAATCTCTGAAGTAGGGCATTCATATGTACATGCAATTTGTTTAAAACTGGGAATCAAACTCACAATGCCACATTGCCAGGTAAGCAATGTGCTGCTCAGCTATATCCCTGATCTCGTACAAGAATTTTTTCTCTGTATGCAGAGAAAGAAGCACCATTTGCTCCTGTAATTATTATACTTCATTGATAGTGACTGTATATTGTTGAAAAGGACACGCTAAATGATGCACCTTGTGCTCTTTATATGTTTCATATGTGGTATTCATATTTTTAAAATTATGTCAGTATGAATTGCATGTGGTATAATGCTCGTAATTTCAATCAATTGTTTTTTTTTCTTTTTTATTTATGGAGGAAAAAAACA